ATTTCGGAGCCATTCAGCTTCTTCACCGGCTTTATCCAAGGCTATGAACTCAGCCTCCATTGTAGAGCGGGCAATACAAGTTTGTTTGGATGACTTCCAAGATACCGCTCCTCCACCAATAGTGAATACATATCCACTTGTGGACTTGGAATCAGTTGATCCGGTGATCCAATTTGCATCACAATATCCCTCAATGACCGCAGGATATTTATTGTAGTGCAAAGCAAAGTCCTGGGTATGTACTAAATACCCCAAAACTCGTTTCATGGCCATCCAATGAGATTGACCTGGATTGCTCGTATATCGACTCAATTTACTTATAGCACAAGCTATATCTGGTCGTGTACAATTCATGATGTACATTAAGCAACCCAACACACGAGCATAATCCAATTGTGATATGCTCTGGCCTTTGTTCTTTGCTAATGCAAGATTCACATCAATNTGTTTATGCAAAACGCCCACAGCATAAATGCCATTACATAAATGGCCATTTACTCAATAATAAAGAGGGAAAATAAAGAGGGAAAATTGAAGAGGGTAGTTACTTTTCTGTTACCAAAACAGAAAAACGGATTGGATTTAATATTAATATTTAATATTAATATTTTGTTATTAAAACAAATATTTAATAACATTTCTGTTAATATTTTACTATTAACAAATAAATTTGGTCTAAAAAGTTAATCAATCAATCATTTGACCGAAGCCGAAGCCGAAGCCGAGCCGAGCGACGACGATGGCGCGAGGCTTGCCTTCTTCTCAACTCTTTAAGAGCTAGAAGAAGAGCAATTGCTTATATAGCCATAAAAAACCTCTTCCTCTTCCAATATGGGACAATGCCCATTTGCCAAGGGGGGAACTTAAAATTTCACTCAAAAATTTTATTTCCCTCCATTTCCCATTCACCCTCTTTTAAATATTTAATATATTAATTAAACACATCCAAAACCCAACATAAGCTGACTGCCACACGTTCTTGATCCTGTCCTTTTTCTCCCTAATACTATTTAATCTTCTTGTTAGAATCCATGTTTCAATTCTCCCTAAAGTACGATTAAAGGGAAGTAATATCTCCTTTTTGATCTAGTCTTGTCGCTTACTTCAGGTATATGAGACACATGCCCTACTACAATAATAACAACATGTAAGTGAGATATGTTTGGCAGACTTTATCATTACCTTATGCAAGTAAAAGTTTATTTCCTATAAATAGACCCTCAATTCAAGGAGAGCAAAAATATAGCAGTTTAAAGGAAATACGATAGTGAAAGAGACTTGAACAAACATGCTTACTAAAAGGCATATATAAATTCATAATTTGAATTAAATAAGCTCGAGTAGAAAGAAATAAGTACAAACCGTTGAAGGCGGGATCAATCAATCACATTCACTACAAAGATTGATTCCACTTCTATTCAAAAGGAAATCCAATATAACAAATTTTCCCCCTTGAGGAACAAATTTAACAGTTATTTTACCACCACAACATTGAGAAAACATGGAAAGTAGAAATGTCAATTGGCAATACCAATTCTTGCAAACAAATTTAAGTAACATTACCACCATACAACATTAAGCAAACATAGAAAGTAGAAATGAGCATAGGTACAAATTTTTTTCCTTGTTTTTTGTGGTGATAGGAATTAGGAACTTCACCCTTATGGGGGTGGAGGGATAAGTTGCACTAGGGATAGGGGTGGAGTTAGAATGTGATATATACAGGTTTAATCGAATTTAATAGCTTTAGTCCAAATTCATTTTTATTAAGAATTTTTTTTTTGGTAATTAATAACTTTCATTACCAAGTAAGAATATTTACGGCTCAAGAGAAAAACAAAACTAAGGACCCGAATTGAGTCTAGACATTGTCCCAGACTACAGTTTCCCTATCTCACCATCTACGCCAACAAGCTACTTCTAGTTGACACTACATCAGTGCTCACTCATGCTTAAGGGTAGAAATTTAGGCTGTCTAGTTTCCTTGACAAACGTGGCTTCATGGTCCCTCGTTGAAATATTTCCTGTATTATCTGTCTGATGATGCAGCGGCTGCCTCGCCTTTTGTTCTAAAATAATATTTGATTCCTCTCCTGCCATATGAAATAAACACAGCCTGCTAGTGACATTCTGTAGATTTCAGCATCTGCATTCTTGCCATTACAGTGGGTGACTGCCCAAGCTACCTCATTGTGCCATCCCAGTGTGTAGTAGACTGTATTTGTAAAATAATTCTGGAAATATAAATGAATATAAACAGAAATGAACATAAACAGAAATGACATAAAACCAATTCGAGCCCACTGAATTCACAGTGTTTCCTTAAGGAATTTAATCCCCTCCTATTACCCAAGGTTATGGATTATTTCCTCCCAGGATAGAACAAATTACACACTGGTGTAGTGGTACTTCAAACCCCAGTGTTTCAGCGAACACAAAGTTCGATAGCAAATCACACTTACTTTTTACTTTGTTTGATGCTAAAAGTATGCAGAAGAAGGAGAGAAAACTCTTAGAAAATCGTAGTGAAATTCTGAGCAGAATAGTGTTGTATTTATAGCCAAAGTTGGGCTGAAATCTGAAGAGGTGCAACTCTTCAGAATGGCTGTTTATGCAAAACGCCCACAGCATAAATGCCATTACATAAATGGCTATTTACTCAATAATAAAGAGGGAAAATAAAGAGGGAAAATAAAGAGGGAAAATTGAAGAGGGTAGTTACTTTTCTGTTACCAAAACAGAAAAACGGATTGGATTTAATATTAATATTTAATATTAATATTCTGTTATTAAAACAAATATTTAATAACATTTCTGTTATTATTTTACCAATCGATCATTTGACCAAATCCAAATCCAAATTCAAATTCAAATTCGAAGCCGAAGCCGAGCGACGACGACGGCGCGAGACTTGCCTCTTCTCAACTCTTTAAGAGCTAGAAGAAGAGCAATTGCTTATATACCCATAAAAAAACCTCCTCCACTTCCAATATGGGACAATGCCCATTTGCCAAGGGGGAACTTAAAATTTCACTCAAAATTTCATTTCCCTCCATTTCCCATTCACCCTCTTTTAAGTATTTAATATATATTAATTAAATACATCCAAAACCCAACAATATCTGCGGAGAAATTTACTAAATATATATATATATATAAATTAGATTTAGAATCCCGTAACTAACATCTATTAATACTATTTAAAATTCATAAAGTTCAAATTTTGAAAGGGAGCCTTAAAGTAATGTAAAGTTGTTTCCATGTGACCTATATGTCACGAGTTCGAGCTGCGAAAACAGCCATTAATACTTACATTAGGGTAGACTGCCTATATCACACTTTCTTGACATAGGTTCTTCTTCGAACCCTACATGAATACAAAATGCTACATACACCGGATCGTTTTTCTTTTAAATTTAAATTCCAATTTCACCTCCGTTGGAAAACACAGTCTCTTCAATGCCTAGCAGCATAGTGCAAAGTGGGATAGTGGAATGAAAGGATAGGTGTCAAAATAAGGAGGAAAGGGAAGTGGGACGTGTACCCTATTTTGTAAAGAACGTACACAATGCCTCGCTGTTCACCATGTGATGGCCTTGTGCCTTCGTTCCCATCCTTTCAATCTATTTCTTCATTTCTCTTACTATATATGTACTCACCGTATGCAACAGTTTAAACATGTAGCAGTATTTAATTTGTCTATCACTAAATTGAGTTAGTACACATATTCAAATTTGAGGTTGAGAAATTTTAATAAGGATTCACTTGCCATTATTGAGTTAGTTCACATATTCATATTTGAGGTTGAGAAATTTTAATATATGTACAATATACAGATTTTCGAAGAAACATATCGAATGACACCCTATTGTGTGTTTAATTATCTTATTGTTGTTGGTGTTGCTTTAATTATTTATTTATTTATTTATGATTTCGCTACAACTGTATACTCCCTCCGTTCCAATTTATGTGAACTTGTTTGACTGAGCACGGAGTTTAAGAAAAAATGAAGACTTCTGAAATTTATCGTCCTAAACAAGTCAAAAACGGACCCAGAGTATTTGTGTGATTATAAAAGTTTCTCATGAGGGTAGAATTGTAAGTTTAAGTTAAATTGGTGCTAAATTTAGAAAGGGGTCATTCTTTTTGGAACGGACCAAAAAGGATATAGGTTCACATAAACTGGAACAGGGAGAGTATTTTTTTATAATTCTATGACTATGTTTTTCCTAAGCTGAGAGTCTATCGAAAATAGTCTCTCTACCTTCGCTAGATAGGGGTAAGGTTGCGTACATATTATCCTCCTCAGACCCTACTTGTGGGCAGAGGCGTACGCAGGAATTTTTATAAGTGGTGTCGAAATTTATAGAAGAACGGGAATAATAACTTTAATTATTATACTTACAGACAAGAAATAGTCTTAGTCTATTGATTTTATTGAGTCCTAAGTAGAAAAGATCCTGAGTACAATTCTACTTCATCACAATTTTTAACCATAGAGGCTCTCTCAAATATTTGCAAAAAGAAATTGCTAGTTGAGGTTCAAACATCTAACCTATCAAGCACACTATCAACACATCAAGAGACAATGTATGTCAAATGGTGTTATTTTTTCCTACTTATCCGTTTTGTCACAGTATTAATATATATATATATATATATATATATATATATATATATATATATTTAGTAAAAAAAAAATTGACGAAGCGGTGTCGTGTGACACTGCTTCGTTAAGCGTGCATCCACCTCCGCTTGTGGGATCGCACTGGGTTCATTATTGTTTTTATTATTGTTGTTACTATTACTTTTTTTATGAAATGAGTTTAAATCTAAAAATATAATTTTCAAAATCTCTTAGTTATAGTACATAAAATTCAAGTTGAAAGCCCTGAATACATCCGTACACGCTGCATTAAAACCAACATATGCTCTTGTCAACCCTAAAAGCCAACTGGCACGTCCTGATTTAATCCAATATAGATATCAAATGGAGGAGTGTGTGTGAGGACAAAAAACAGATCTAGGAATTTAAGCCTTCATTCTCCCCTTTGGTCTTTTCTTATCTCCGCCTTTATTTCTTTTAGCCTTTCCCCCTCAAATCCCACTTGGCCAAACACTACTTAATAAAGTGACTACTCATAACACTACATCACATAACACATTACACTTTCTTTTCTCTTAGCCAAAAAACGAAAAAAGGAAAAGACACCCCTTTTGATTTTCTTGGTTTAGAGAGAGAACATAAGAAAAAAAAATATGGATTATGGAATTTTTTCAGATTCAGAATGTAGTAGTGGATGTGAGTCTGGTTGGACTTTGTACTTGGAAAATTCTGCTCGTCCTCCTATAAGTTCTTCCAATACCAATAAATTTTTACCATTTTGTGAAGCTGAAAAGAGTGTAAAAACAGAACAAGAAGAAGAAGAGGAGGATTTGTCTATGCTTTCTGATGCATCTTCTGGACCTCCACATTTTAATGAAGAAGATCAAGATTACGGCCACAACAATAATGGCTTCTTTTTTCATGCCCCAATTAATGTCACATTGCCTAAAAATAATCCCAAAAGGCAAAAATCAAAGGAGAAAAAGCAGCAAACTTCTGCATTGGATGATACAGCTAGCTCTCCTTTCTTTGATTTCTCAAATGTAAGTTTACCTTTCTTATGCATATTTTTTACTAGCATTAATGGAAGAATGTGACTTTTTTGAAGTTAACTTTCTTGAGGTTTTTATCTTATTTGCAGAACAATTTTATAATCACCAATGACACAGCTTCAGTGGATAATGTATTGGACTTTTCACAAGGTTACTCTACAACTCATTTTCAGGTACTTAACTAGTTCTTGTTATAGATGTAAATTTTGTGTTAACTAATTAGTAGGGGCGGAGCTAGGGTAGCGGGAGGGTTCATGTGAATGCCCTTCTCCGAAAAATTATATATAAGGGCAGCCTGGTGCTGTAAGCTCCCGCTATGTGTGGATCCGGGGAAGGGCTGGACCAGAAGGGTCTATTGTATGCAGCCTTACTCTGCATTTATGCGAGAGGCTGTTTCCACGGCTCGAACTCGTAACCTCTTGGTCACATGGCAACACCTTTACCAGTTACGCAAGTTTCCCCTTCGAAAAGTTACACATCATATATAGTAGATATTGAACCCCTTTGGCTCGTTTGTGTCTATACTTTTTTTATATTCTGAATCCCCTTGGTAAAATTTCTGACTCAATCACTGCTAACTAACATTTCTCCATAATGATTTCATTTGTTATAAGTTTATGTGCTCATCAATAAATATAATTTATGCAGAGGAGATCTGCATATGCATATCAGGAGCAATATGACTTTTTCCAATCATCTCTGTTACCTGGAAACCAATTACAAGAAAACCAGTTAAGTTCTTGATTTTCTTATTTGAAACAAAAAAACTTTAAGTTTTCAGTGCCAAAAAATGGGGAGCCTTGGCGTAACTTGTAAAGTTGTTGCTATGTGACTAGGATGTCATGTGTTCGACCCGTGGTAACAGCCTCTTGCAGAAATGCAGGGTAAGGTTGCGTACAATAGACCCATGTGGTCCGGCCCTTCCCTGAACCCTGCGCATAGCGGGAGCTTAGTGCACCGGAAGCCCTCTTAGTGCCAAAAAATCATTTTTGAATTTACTAACATTTCTTTGATTTTGATTTGATTTTTATCAGGTGGTTTGAAGGCAAAAGGTGGGGATATTAGCAGCTATCAGTTTTAGCACATGTTGATCATGTCTGCAGCTAAATGAATGCTTAGAAAGAGGAAAGGAATTGTATCTCAAAAGAGATTTTTTTCCTCTTCTTTTTCAATATTTTTTTAATTTTTGCTGTCAATGCAGTGGGAAACAACTTGAAAGAAGAAGTTGGAATTCCTTTTCCTCTATCTTAGAATTAAGTTTTTTGCAAATGAATAGTGAAATATTAGTTTTTGAACTCATGTTGGAAATAATGGTTACATAATAGCTTTTGAATTTCTGCTGAGCAAATTATGCGCAATGCAACCAAGTAAAATTGGCACATCACACCATGGGTTCGTGGATTCGGCAGAACTCATTGTTTTCAGCTCGAACTTAATTTTTAATACTCATGAGCGAAAAACAAATATAGATAGTGTTAGATATACATTTCAGAATCAACTCTTTCAACTCAGAATTGATTACGTATAAATTGTGAATGTGCCATAGTATTCAGAACATTGTTCCTCATGGAGCTCCATGCTTTCATTCAACACATAGTGTATTTGTAACATAAATGAAGCTTGAAGAAATAGGAAAAAGAAAAAGGGAAAAGGAAAAAAGAGTATTGAAATTATTAACTAATCAAGGCAAATCTTGTTGCTTTGTTGACTGTCCTTGATAATCTATAATTGATTGAACATGTCATGAGTTCTCAATCCTATCAAGACATTTAGAGAGGGAGAGGGGACAAATTGAACTGTTTAGTCAAGCCAACCAAACCTAGTACTATAATCATGATCCACAACAATAATTCTTTTCCTAATTGTTTTCCAGTGCTTTGCTAATTTGATAAATAAATAAAAAAGGGGACAAGGGGCAAGTATATGATCCTAATAACCTGTTAAAACAAAAAAAACAAATTAGGACTTCTTGAAATTCATTTTTAAAATTGAGCAAAATCTTGGAAAATAGGCTTTGACTATAATGTGGCCAAAACCTTAGGGTCTCGTATTGTCTAGACAAGAATCAAGTTGATGCATTAATTTCAAAGATATAAAGGATTTCATATTATAAAGGGTTGTTCAAAAAGATTCCCCGTCATTTAATCAAATATTTTGCTTTTTCATGAATACTTAGGTTCAAATTAAATGCCCATGAGTTCGCTATTTGCTTCCTAGTAATTCTAATAAACGTAATGAATCGAAAATCATAGATTAATATAAGATGGAAAAATGACACTGTATAGTATATACGTTTTTGTATGTTATATACAAGAAAATATATAAATTTTATATACTTTTACTAATTGCCAAATATAAATAATTTCTGTTGCGGCTAAAAATGATATTTGTCCGATAGATAGGAGAAACAAAGAAGAAAAAAATACAAGGGGATGATAATGAAAATGTTACAAGGGTAATGGGCAGTCAGAAAAGTACGGAAATGAGTGGGAAATTCCAAAAAATAATGTCGGAATATTTCATATATGTAACTTCACGACCCTTCTTTAAGTGTAGAGATCCTGCCTGAGATCTTCCTGACCCAATGCTACATGCCATTTTTATTATAATATTAGCCTCTTTATAAATTATTTAAGCTATAGTATGTTTGCCCCCTTAATTCTGTCTCCTTTGAAGGTGTCATTGGACTTGAAGTCATACACAATTATATGCTCTTTCTTTCATTTCTTTAGTATTTGGACTGATCCCAGTCAAATTCTATTTCTAAAAAAAGAAATTGAAAAAGTGATTAGTATCATGCATTTTCAAGAACTATGACACAAAGTTCAACACTGGTCTTTTTTAATTTCTTTCTTTCCATTTTGCTAGTCATGTTCAGAGGATCCAGAATTTTGATTCTATTGGTTCAAAATTTTGGTTTCAACCACTAAACCCACACCTTGTTTGGTTCATAGCTCATTTTTTTCAGCAAATTTAGTGAATTTTATACTGAAAATCCAGATAAAAGTTATGCGTTAAATTAAACCTATAACTAAGCTGTTGGATTCGCTCCTGATCATGTTTCATATCTTATTAATGAGAGTCGTCCAAGTAGACCAAGAAAATGGAAAGAAGTAAAATCTCTTTAACACTGAATGTTTTATTTTACCTTCTATTATACTGTAGGGTTATTCATACTCTTGTTGTTAGCAAATTGTTTCATATTTGCACTTGACTTAGGGAACTTTAATACGGATTGAATGGACTCCATGTAACAAAATACTTTAGGAAAAAATGTCCAAATTTTCATGCCCTTATTTTTTGAGATGATTAAAAATTACCTTCCATAATACTTTTAAGTTAGAACTCCGTTAAGATTAAGGGCAAGTATGAGACTGTTTGCTAATGACAAGAATATGAATGACTCGGAAGTATAGGAAAGTAAACTTAAGATAATTTCATTTTACCCTTTTCCCACAAAATAAAGATAAAGAAAGGATATGGATAGGCTATGGTTATTGACAGTCAATTATGGTATAGAGGAATCAAGAAAGTATGGGGCAAAACATTTTTGCCTTACCAACTGCCATCAAAACAAAGCCTTGAATTCAATCCCTTTTGATTGGCCTGTGGTGTTACTGAATTTTCACCTAAGGTTGTTTCCAATTCTCATGACAACAGTGTTCTTCTCCCAATAAAACTGTACATAGTTTCCAGTCCTTAACTTTTTGCCATATTTTCACTTTGTCAGGCCCACAGTCATGTGTTATATAACAGTGAGAGTGAACATGCACAAAAGTGTACTTAAAATTCAGCCTTTAAATCAACCCCACAACCACTGCAGTAACTTAAATTGCAGTAACAGGGCATGGATCTATCTTCCTGCTAAGCTTTACTGTCTTTTTTTTCTCCTCAAGTTGCCCATGATTTTCCAGTATGCTGTGTAGGAAGAGGATAATGCACTTGATCCCAAAAGTAAGTAAGTTGTGTTTGTTTGCTTTGTTTTTTTTTTCTTTTTTACTACATTTATAGATGAGAACTTCGCCGGTATGAGTTTGCTCACGTTGCATGCCTGTCATAAGAGCGATAAATTAAGGAGGAGGGTTGTTGTAGGCAGGGGCAAAGCAACCTTTTGCTAAGGGTGGTCTCGAAATATTACGAAAAATTACACTGTGTATATAAGTAAAATATTAATTTTAGATGTATATAACATATATTGAACACTCTTTGTCGAGAAATTTCTTTTAAGTCTGAACACCCTTGGGAAAATTTCTGGCTTCGCCACTTATTGTTGGTTGACAGCAAACATACAACAACAAATCCAATGTAATCCCACAAAATGGGGTTTGGAGAGAATAGTGTATACGCAGATCTTACCCCTACCTTATGAAAGTAAGAGACTATATTTCCAATCAACCCTCACAAACATAAAACTAGTCGATTTACAATGAATTCTCAAAATACAGAATATAATATTGAACTATGACAGGCCTAATTAAGTATCAGGGACATTGCAAAATTCATGTAGTCGAGCCAATGCTGCTTGAAATTGACACGCAGTTATTGATATTATCTTACTGCATTATAGATGAGATGTTTCAAGATTTTCCTTGTATTATTGTGTCAGTATATGAAGATGGACATGACAGAGCTGGAATTGTACTATAAAAGAGAGATCTTGATCTAGGAATATAACTCAGTTTTTTTGTGTGTGTGGTGGGATTCAGTATCCAATTTGAGACAGGTCACAGCTGGCATTAGCATCATAAAGTAGAAGGCAATTAAGGAGGTTTATGGACACAAGCTCATAGGACCACACAAACAGATTTAAATCTGATTCCAGGTTTCTGGAAAAAAGGAGTTGTTGAAGCCAACACATCCCGATGCATCTATTTTTGACAATATCACCTAGAGTTTCTCTACATTTGAGTGGTTGTTGATAATCCTCCTTAATTTTCATGTCAATTATTGACCTTTTTATAATGTTGACGGTCAACATAATAGTTGTCATGCAAACAAATGTGTACTTTTTTTTATATTATAATAGTAGTGCCCATGTCGACTTGCCCACAAGACAACTATTCTATTAGTACATGCTACCATTTATCAGCATGGATATGGGATAACTTTACTGACAAAAGGCATCCCGGTACACAAAGTATTCCGTAATCCGTATTCATAGAGAGTCTGGGGAAAAACCGTACCCTAAGAGGTATGATGTAGATAGCTTACCTTATTGCAAGCATTAATGACTATTTACATGGCCCAAATCCTTAACCTACATGTGACACGAAGACATCCAAAAACTCCTATTCAACTATAATCACAAAGGTTTAGGTAAATACAAAAAAGTCACTTAATCTCTTGTTCTCTATTGGAAACTGAATCCTTGTCTCTTATATAATTTTATTTGACTTAGTTGATCACTGGGGCACACTTGGGTGCCCTAGAAATATATGTACTACTAAACAGTAGTCATAGTGGTTCGTTTCGTCTTTTGATAAATCTGTCACTCTATCACATAGAGTCCGGAACCAAAATGTGGTTTTTTTGGACTCAAAATACTTTTTTAGGTGGAAAAAAAAAAGTTATCATTTTTATAAAACGTGGTTATGGACCATGTTTTACCTTAACGGCCGTTTGGGACGTTAAGGTAAAGCGCGATTTGTTACTGCGTTTTATATAAAACGCGTTAATAAACTGCGCTTTACCTGGAAGCTGATAAGACGGCTATATAAAGCGCGTTTCATTACTACTATTTATATAAAACGCAGTAATAAACCGCGTTTTACATATATAAATAATCGTCCCCTTCCCTTTCCCCCACGTTCTGCACAGATACCCCCCCCCCCCCTTGGTTTAAAAATTCCAGTGGTCCGTCCTACCCCCCCCCCCCCCCCCCCTCATTGACGACCCAAAAAGCTCGTGTGGACCCCACCCGTCCCGTAAAAAGTAGATATTGTTGGTTCCACATCCTAGCCAAGCCTTTTAATTGTTGTGGGTTGCTTGTTTTGGAGTCAAATTTTCAAATCTTCAACTTTCCGAAAAACATAAATCGAGGTATTCCGATTTAGTTTATGTCCAAACTCGTATAAATAATGCATATATATTAGTTGTTTTGAATGTGTTGTATGTTGTTTTGTATTTTTTTTTTTTTTGCGATTAAATTGATATGTTACTTTTATCCGGACTAAGATATTAATGTTGTAAAAAAATATGTAAAAATTGTGAAATCGTTATTATTTGTTAATAAACATGTTAATAAAATACTATTACTGATTTATATGTATTTTTGTGAATGTTTTGTGATTACAATGTATTTGTTGTGTTTTATCTGGTTTAAATTATTTATTT